CAGCTGCTTGGGGGGTGACTTGGATACAGTGTGGTTGAAGATTGAAGAAAGGGTGGGCAAGTGGTGGGGCCTTTCGTGGGATGAGGCCTGTCAGATCACCTATCTCGGATGCGATATGCATCAAGGATGGAAGGGTGGAATTCAAAAAATACAAATTTAAATTTTAAGTGGCAGAGTGGATTTGAAAAAAAAAAATTAATTTTATTTCTGAATGCACTATCTTGAGGGCGCAGATATTTTCTTTCCCTGCTGGTCAATTGGAGGCACAACTAGGCTTCTCATAGGCCTAGAGACACTGACGTTCCAGCTGGCAGGGGCCCTTGTTCTAGGCCATTTAGCTCCATTGATGCATTTCGCAGCTGCTCTAGAGGTTTCCAATCTTTGGAATCTCGAAGTCTGGGAAGATTCCAGAGGGCAGGAGAGAATTTGGTCCAGGGAGAGAGCATACCATAAGCTCTCAGGACGATGACTAGGATTTGGCCTGCATTTTTTGCTGGTAACAAGTTTTTATCTGTTGTCTTGAGGAATGGAGGTCTAGGATGGACCAAATTGTACTTGTTCTAGTGGAATAGTTTGGATCTGCTCACTGATGATCCTGACTCAATAGACGTTTTGCAGATCGAATGGAGATAACCTGGGGAATGGTCTCTCAAACAAGGCTTTCAATCTGCAGGGAATGGAATCATGATTGGTCCTAGCAAAACCCATCCAATCTACTGCTTTAAAGGGTGAACACGATCGTCTTTGAATGGTTCAATGTTACAAACATGGTGTGGGATGCCTTCCGCTTATGTCTAGACTCCAGCAACGTGGTGCAGCCTTCTGTTGGGTTCCAGGGGTACAGGAAGAGAGAGGTCCCTTTGAAGGAAAGCCTTTTCTGTTCAAGAAGGGGTCCTCCAAGTCTTGCAAGCCCAGGACAAAATGCCTTTGATAGCATTTAAAGGTGGCTTGAATACACTGACCAAAGAGGCCTGTAGGGTGAAAAGGCATTCAGAGATTATGGATTCCTTAACCGAAATGGGAGTCAGACCAGTCATGAGGACACCTCGTGATAGGGGGTTAAGCATGGTACGATTCTCAACAAAGTGGGAGCGGGAAGGGGGATGAAATGAAGAATGAGGAAATGGGCCAGGAGAATGAGGGAGGCTAGGGATCGTCATCTTTGAGGATTTCTGGTGAGGAAAGGCCATCTATTGTTAAAGTTTGGGATGGGGGAAGGCTGGGAATTAAGGGAGGAGAAGGTAGCCTGATCTGTGGGAAAATAAAATAAAATTAGACAATGGGGAATATGAACTACTGTGGCTGATGGAAAAGACAGAATAGTAGACCAGTTTTCCAGGACTTGGCCAAGTTGACTCGAACTCCGCCGAGTTACTCAGCCTCCACACGGTGTAGAGAAGATTATCCTCACCAACATTGGGGACACTGCACAAATAGAGTACTCGGGCGAGTAGTGTAGAAACTTGCCCTAGTAAGTACTGTGGAACTCGAGGGTGGCTCAGGCAGACTCACCCCAAATTTTACAGTACTCTGGAGAGTTGCTACAGTACTCACTCGAGAACTGTTCACTGATGCAGAAATGTAAGGAGGGTGAAAATCAGCCCCCATTTCATTCCCTTGAACACTGGAGCCCCAAAACCCCATATTTTCATCCAAAAATTCAACCTAAGCTAGATTTTCATTAGATTTACCAGTTACAAGTCGTAGATTTGAGAAACAAATACTACATTTCATCAATATTGTAGATCAAAGACTTGGGCAAGTTTTAACCTGCTTTTGAAAATTTTCGATTTCTTCGAATCAAATGATCATATTTTTGACAAAATCAAATCCTGGGCCAAATGTAGGTGGATTTGGGGGTGGTTCTTAATGTTAACCTCAAAGTAATTGCCATTTAAGGTACAAAGAACAAGTCCCTAATGTTTACTTATAGTTAATGTGTCAAGATTTAATCCAAAGGAAAACAACAGCTATAGTTTCTGACCCATACACTTGATGTGTATGAAAATTGGGGCATCCATAGTTAAAACATGGCAGGTATATCATGTGCATCGCTCTAGGCCAGACACATGATGTGTATGAAGTAGAGGGCTTCACCCATAAAAACAGGAAGGTATACCATAAACATCATGATACATCACAACAAAGCCAGGGTGAAATGAGTTCAAGACCCTGTGGCTGAAAACATTTACAACAAATTGCTTGATAAATATTAATCAAATATAGAAATAAACATCAGTCATCCAAGCCCGTCAAAGTCTCTCACATCCACAGACAATAAATAATAAAACTACTTTTCCTTTTTCAAAGCAAAGGTCTCCTATGGAAGCTAAAAAAGTAAAATTATTGATATCTCTTTTGTAATATTTTTGCTTGGGAAAGAAGGTCCCTGTATTTATTGCATAGGTACATGCATTGGTTCTTGTGAGGTTGCACAATCACAAGCATCTGATCTGAATATTCTTGGATATTAGTGGGAAAAAATCTACTTTTCACCCGGTACATGCTTGCTCTTTTGTAATATTTTTTCACCAGAAAAAATGTTTCTTGGATAAAAAGTATAGTGGGCAATTTATCATACATTGATGTGATTGAATCTTTAGGCCTGCAACCATATAGGACTTGTCAACATTATTATTTTTTGTATATGGACTTGTCAACATTATTTAATTCTTGAAAATCACTCGTTAGTCACGTGTGTAATATCATTAATGCAGAGAAATAAGTTATTGTATGGTTGCAAATTTTCCATTGCACTGATCATAATATTTCTCAAAGTGGCATTGTCCATGCTCCATACTCTTAGTTGGCAAAGGGTAGAGTCATGATTGTTTATCCTAAGTCAAATGATCCACTAATATTCTTACTAAACGATCCCACAGCTCAAGGATCATGTCCCATCACCTATGGAATGACATTCATAGTTAACCTGCTCCTGGATCGTAGGACTGCAATTCTGAAGTGGATTTGCCATCCTGGGATGGCAACCTCGGTAACCATGCACCACCTGGAATGGTTGGTGGCTTCTACCACAGCCACCAACACCAAAGAGATGATGGTTGTGGTGTCCCAGTTGTGGGCGGAAGGCAACTGATGTTATCATCTTTGAAGGATGTAACCTTTACTAGGATGGCCATTTTGAGTGATCCAAACCTTAAATCATCTACACACCTAACCCTACTATTTCCATCCCCAACCCTAAATCATAACCCGTGCTGCACATTGAACCCACATAAAGTTCACAAACCCGGCTCAAGTTTCTCCAAAACCTAGATCAACACCCCCACAACCGAGCCGCACAACCCTCATACTGCTCATCTTAGGATCAATGCCTTTGGTCCTACATCAGAAACGGCAACGATGTCGATTACAGCAGGGTTGTGGTGCTGGTGTTTTGGCAGTAGGGTGGTGGTGATCACTTATCTAATCTGTACCATACATTAGAATGGATGGTGGATAGCGGGGAGGGACACCAATGAATGTATTCTGACTGGAACATCATATCAATTCTTCATAGGCAACCCAGATGGAGTGGTCTATAGTCTTAATGCACTGAGTGGGTGACTTGCAATCGATTATGTGGAGGCTCGCCATGGTGTGAACATAGGGGTTGTGATCAATGCTGCCTCCATTCACAAGCCGAGTACTAGGTGGTGATCCGCTTACGAATTACTGAACTTAGCCTTCATCTGCACATCTTTTGTTCCCAGGGCAGGGGCAAGGCATCTTTGTTCTTCAGATCCCCCCTGTCAGATCTCAGCAAGTGTTTGCAGTTCAAGCGTGCACCTAGGCGAGATGCATCCAACAGCCCTGCCTCTGGTTGCCGCCTTCGATAACAATGTTCTATGTAGATTCTTGTCAAGGGGCTTCACCTATTTGAAATTAGTCTTATCGACATTTCCCATGTTGCGGATTTCCATAGCAATCATGTGCTTCTCCACAAAAAACAGTTTCAATGATTTGGAAATTACAAGGGACGACATAGGCTTTCAGGTGGTGGATAATGCCCAAAGTGATTAAAACCTACACATCAATTTCGCGTGGAACCTGCTGAGTCCCCAATACTCTGACCTCAATGAATCAACCGAAGTCTAGTTAAATATTGACCGAAATGGTGGCTGACCAAGCTCACACTCTAATTCTAGTGCACTCCCAACTTGAGACACATAAGTGAAATCAACCACGGGGAGTTCATCATCATCACCATCATCAACGCCTTTTCCCCACTATTTGGGGTGGGTCGGCTACATGAATCCTGGTCCGCCATTCTACTCTATCAAAGGCCATACTCTCAGTGAGGCCATAAGTCGACATATTTTTTCCCACTACTTCCAACCATTTCCTTTTAGACCTACCTCTTCCCTTTTTAATCCTTCTACTTGAACCAACTTGCACCTCTTAACAGGTGTTGTGTGGGGCCTGCGCTGCACATGGCCAGCCCACCTGAGTCTACTTTCTCTCATCTCCTCACCTATTGAAGCCATATGTAATTTCTCCTGAATGTATTCATTTCAAATTCTATTCTTTCTTGTCTTGCTACTCATTCATCTCAACATTCTCATCTCAGCTACACTCATCCTATGGGTATGTTGTTTCTTGACCACCCAATATTCTGCCCCATAAAGCAAAGTTGGTCTCACAGCTGTCCTATAGAACTTCCTTTCAACTTCATTGGTATGCGGTGATCACATAAAATGCCCAAATTGCACATGTGCTCAAAGACACAGATAGCTACATTCTTATAAGAAATTCTACAAGTGCACATGTGGGTAAAATAAATTCTCTGCTCACCATAATGAAAACATAAGCATGTAATTCATGTTCATCATAGAGAACTCGACATGCAGAAAGTATAACCAAGAAGTGAAGCGAAATAGCAATATAGTGGCAGAAAGAATATAAAATGCTGCGAAAATAAGTATTCATATAATAGATATTTGATGAACAAAGAAAAATAATTTCAGATGCATTACCTACAGAAGAGAGAGACTAGAAATTACCCAAAGTAGTCGTCAAAAACAAATGGAAGCATGCCTGTGCGATTGTTATCAGTATCAGACCAAACATGGCTGCGACGGATGATAAAAATCAGATATGAAAATACTCTTAAGCAACTAATTTATTTGTTATCTCTATTAATCCATGGGTACTAACCTTCTCATACTGAGATAGCCATTAGGCTTTCCTTCAGTGAAAGGTGAATTAGCAAAGAGTGCAGTTGCAATCTATCACCAAAAGTAGAATCCAATTTAGCCTACCAAAAAACATGAGAAAAGACAACTGTTACTGCAAATCTCAAATGGCATTATTCTCACAGGTTGTAAAGCAAGACCAGCACGAAATTTCCTGATCATATCCAATTCTGAAATGAAGTCAAGATTGACCTGAAAATGACAGATATGTAAGCATGAGTTTCATTCACCACCATGTCCTGATTATTTGAAAAAGCTATATAGTAGTATCTAGATTGTCAAGACACTTTTAAAATGACTAGGCATGGAGAAAGGTAGGAGGAACATTAATAATCAAAGCACAAAGATAAAAATAACGTTTTACTCCACCTGAACTGTGCATGTCCGGAACATCATGTCAAGTCCCAAAGTACCAACTCTTGGCATGTAGTTCCTCATTATCTCATACCTTCCCTGCACCATTTTAAGTAACTTAAATCCATGTCAACAGACAACATTAAACAATAAAAAAACACATAGAACAGATGCTGAATTCCCATGAAGTATTTCACAGAAAACTCTGAGCAATATAAAAACAATGACAGTGAATAAATATGAAAGGAAAAAAAAAAGACCAAAGTTTGCACCATTCTATTTACTAATTGGAAAGATAGTAAATGAACATATTGCCCAGTTTTTTGCTTCGCGTTTCAAAACGATGGGGGGAGGGGGGAATGTTACACCTTTATTATAGTCTATTTATTTCAGATATAGACTTTTTGTTTTGGCACTATAATCTATTTATTTCAAATAACAATATCCCAATAACTTCAAATAGATACATGAAGGAATACACACAATATTGTTTTTACTTTTTCAGAAAAATTCTTTGTTGCGTAATATGAAATCATATATTGCACTGATCCGTAGTCAAATTTCTTACAATTTTTTGTGGGGTTTAGCCAAATTTTTAAATTTTCTTATAACTAGTCTTCCATCCGACCAAAACGTGCAACTAACCCTAATTCGTGAGAGACCCTTGCACATTTACTTCCACATATCGTTGAGACTGGTCCTTTTTATCAACAACAATCATTTCAAAATCATGTTTAGAGAATGAAAGTAGCTAGCTATCTTTCTGAAATAATCAATGCAAATCACAACTCGATTTCTCAAATTAACCATTAATTACTCCTAATCAACCATTAGTTTCCATTAGAGCAGCACAAATTCAGTGATATAATCCCAAAACCAGTAAGCCCCCCCCCCTCCAACCTAATAATAGGTTTATTAAAGGTTGACCAAGTTGTTCCATGGCGGGCGCCTAGAAGCAAGGACGCCCAGGGCGCCCAGCAAGGTGTTTTGGCTCCCCGGCTGCCTCCAAATTTTCAAACATTAAATGTAACTTAACACCCCATCGACCTCAAAACTGACTAAACAGCTCATGAAAGAACAAAGCTTTGGTACAGGTGAACTTGACATTGAAAACATAACTTTCTACCATGTGCCATCACTCTCACTTATTATGCCACTCTCCCACACACTTGAAACACGTCCTAGTTGTATTAGAAAATCACTTTTGAAATGTCTTATTTACAGTAGGCACAGTCGGAGACATAAAAAAATCCCCTCCATTATTAGTTTCTATGTAAACCAAATGAGGAGTTAATGTATATTAGCATATATCAAATATAAAAATCAATTCTAGAAGGAAAAAAAGATGCAGAATTGCCACGTTGATTCATCTAGTATAATAATATCACATGCATCACTTTTCTTACTATTCACAGGATGGATAACAAGGTACCTTGGGCATTATGGGGATGTCCTTCACTCCCCACTTTGGCTGGAATCCTATTCCTAGAAAACCTATTGCCATGTCTTCTGCTACAGCTTTCACCTGTGAGGTAGCATAAAATTTGAGACAGCATGTCAAATGAAGGTCAACTTTACCAACTGAAAACATTACAAGTAATCAAATGTCGACTAACCCTTAATGATACGTCATTTCCAAAGGAAAATACCATTCATGAAATCCATTCTTAAACCACAGGTAAGTGAGAGTCCTAAATTACGGCATCAATATACTGAAACATTCAGATCAAAATCCTAAGCAGGGAAGCATGGTTGAACAAAGCTTCAAGATTATACCCATATAATCACATGAAACTGTTTCTTATGATCTGTTAAAAAGAAAAATTACCTTAGGAACCTATAGCAGAGATACAACCCACGAAAGAAAAAGGTCAAAAGAAATTTTTCACATTAACCCAGCCCAATATCTTGACCATGAGCAGATCAACAACAATTCTCACCAGTAGAATAAGTCACTGTTGGGAGTGTATCCCAATCCAAACAAGGAGTACAAAACAATGTGCTTTTGACAGGACTCAAGACTCACCTGAAATATCAGGAACGGAAATTAAAAATGGGCAAACCACGAGCAACATAGAGATGTATTTATCAGATTGTTGTGGAGGAGCTATTTTCGTTTCAGAAGCTCTTGCCTCTATTTTGGCAGCACGGTTGGACACAGACAAGGCAGGATGCATCTGACCCTGTACAACCCCTTGAGGTTTCTGTGTTGCTCGACTTTCAAATGATGTAAAAATACTGCTTGGTTCTTTATTGCAATGAAGTGAAGAGACAAGCCACCAATATTTTGTAGAGTGTATCATAGGCAGCAGATTGTCAGAAAATGAACTTTGTTCAAACTGTCACCAATACTTACATGGCAACTTTATGACAGTCCAATGAATGAGATTCTAAAATAAATTCAATTATATGGCTTTTTATGAACATATGAAACATTCAGCACAGCTTTGTCATTTTCCATAAGTGTCAAAAAGTATCATGAGCAATAAATACAACAACTCAGAGCACAAGTGGAATGTCAGCATCAGCAGGAAAGTAACTTGTTTAAATACACCTTGCTCCTGAGAGCCATATCATCATTCATAATACAACTTGAACTTTTTAAAATGTAGAGTGAAAAATTGATCACAATAGAAGCTCAACTTGGAGTGGCGGCATCTTGGTTTTGGAATGAAATGCAAAGGGGTTGAATCTAGTCCTTGTAATAGGACAAGTAGTTGCAGATACATATGATATGAAAAGCATAAATAATAAAATAAAATCTACAAAATAATCACAAAAAATAAAGTACCGGAGAACTGGTCTAGCAAGATATTCCTCACAAAGTAAAAGACAGGTAACAAAAGATTATATATATAAATATATATATATAAAAGGAAAATGCCGAGGTTAGCCCACTAGCTCATATCTACAGATGAGCCCAACGGCCCAGATTGAATATGGGCTGATCAGAAGGTCATGACCTCATTTCGTATTTGACTTTTAACGTTCTTTCTACCAATCCAAATCACTTGAAATTTTAGGTCTCCATTCTTCTCATCAAGGTGCACCTAATAAAAATATTTTAAAAATAAAATACCCCTAAAACATTTCGGAGGTATTTCGGTCAATTTATTTCTTGCAAATTATATTTTTGATATTCTTATTAGATTCTCCTATTTTTAAAATATACACGCCTAAAATTTTAAGTGATTTAGATTTGTAGAAAAACAATTAAAATTCAAATACGAAATGAGGTCGTGACCATCAGATCGGCCCAGATTCAATCTAGGCCGTTGGGCTCACATGTAGATATGAGCTAGTGGGTTAACCTCAGCATTTTCCTATATATATATATATATATATATATATAAGGAAGCTGGGAATCACCTGATAAAGATGTGAGTTGACTTCTGCACAAGTTTGATGTAGCGTTTCTAGTGGAGCACCACTGAGCTCAAACTGACCACCAGGCTCCAATGATATGCTTTGCTTTCCCTGATCAATTTCAACAATGCAATAGTCTTGTGAAGTTACCCAAGAAGGCCCATCAAGATTGCAACAAATTATTACCAATGAAAATTAAGCCTTTTTTGCAATGAGTGAAAATTCCAGAATCTAGAAAATCCTACAATGAAATAATAAATATGACTTCCACCAAAGATGTTGAATATTTTGAAACACATGCCTAGCAAATGATCGTGTCGAATCTCAAGGTGTGAAGCAATCAATACTAATTTCGCTAGTACAAGATTCTGGTAGTAATGAGCGAAAGAGGACATGAAGCCCATAAAGGGTTAACTAAGAAAGCAGAACATACTGATACCTGTACGAGGCCTATAATATGATCTCCTTCCATGACTTTATCCCAATCAAACCTCTCAGCAAGTCCAGTGAGTAAGTCAGCAATCTGATCATATCTAAGAGGCCGTAGACTTCCAAATTCAAAACCAAACTTCTCATGCTCAGTGCCAATCCTGGTCAGACACAATTCATTATTTTGTTTGAAGAAGACACAATTCATTATCATCATAGTTTCAGGAGTAAAAATCATCTCACCAATATGACCTCTACAAGCTACACTTTTTGAGACCCTAGATATTGAAAAACATAGAGAAGATGAGAGAAAATGGGTACACTTGAAAACACATAATCAGGGCACAGCCCTAACTCTTGTATTATATATAATGTATAATCTTACATCTTGAATAAGGATAATTTGGCCTTATACACTACAGAAAATGACTTCACAATCAACCATTAAATTACGCACATATTACAGAACTGCCCCTCATTGCATTCTAAGACTCCCCTCAATTTTTTTTTTTTTTTTTTTGAGAAATATTGACCTTTGTATTGCTTTGAGAATGAGAGTACAAATCGTTAGCGATAGCCTGAGAGTGCCTTACTTTATAGGACTCTTGGTAAAAAAGAATAGGTCAACTGACACTATACAAAATGGGGATATAAGTTTACCCCCTTACAAAGTATATAGTGAGTTTACAAAAAAAAGAGAGTCAAAAAGTTGCCCATTCCAAGAGAGGGGTACTCCTAGTCTTCATCCTTTGTGGCCAGCCCAATGCAAAAAAATGGTATGGGCCTAGTCTTCATTGTGGGCCTTAGCTCCGTCCTTGGCTAGCAAATACGCGAGCCCATTTGACGTCTTTGAGGTATGAATCCATGAGACGGGTATATCCCTGCAAAGGTGCACAATCTCATAAAGAGGTGCAAGATACCAGAGGGGAATAGCTTTCCTGGATGCCCAAGAAATGATGTTTCGAGCATCCCCCTCCACTAATAGGTTTTGTCCCCAAGATCGATCGAAATTTTGCAGGCCTCTGAGGAGGGCCAATGATTCGACATACTGTATATCTTGGATGCCAAGGCATTCAGAGTAGGTAAAGACGATGTTGTATTGGTGATCTCTAAAAACCCCACCTGCACTTGCATGGCCAGGGTTTCCAAAAGAGTATCCATCAAAGTTTAATTTGATTGCTTCTTGAAGGGGGGTTTCTAGGCAACACTCCCCCTCATATTGAACATCATGTTTGAACATATATAACTTGTTCTTTAAGAAATCACGTCTATCTTTTGCAAGCCCTTTTTGAAGATATCAGCTATTTGATTTTCGGTCCTAATAAAGCAAGCAGTTATCTCCTCGGCTTCATTTCATGAGAGTTTCATTTACACTAACTTCTTGCCGCCCGTTACACTTTCTTTTGTGATGCACTATAATATCTTTGGCTGATCTATAAGGGATTTCACTTTTACAAGAATCTTCATTTGAATCTTGGTCTATATATTCCTTGAACGCTTTCCCAGGTCATGGAGGAGTTTCATCAATGATCTCCCCCTCAAGACCGTGCTACTCACCACTTCTATCCACATCTTTATTACTAAAAAATGGTGTCTCATCCACAACTTGATTCACGGGTCGACTATGAATTTCATGATGCAATGGTAATTCACGTTTACCTGAATCACCTGCATCCATAAAACAAGGTGGCATATGCATCCTCCTTTTATCAAAGATAGAATTTTAAATCTAGGATAGCAACACCTATATCCCTTGTATTCATTAGCATACCTTGAAAAACACAAATGTCTGCCTTTGGGGACAACTTATTTCACTGGCCTCATCAATATGTACATAGGCATAAAATCCAACCGAGCACCATGTGGAATAATCAAGGTCCTTCCCAAGTGGAACCTGGTAAGGTTATTTTCCATAAACATTTGTAGCCAAACGATTAATGAAATAAACTACTGTATGAAATGCTTTTGTCCAAAAAAATTTAGGAACTCCACTCATAAACATCATGGACAATGCAACTTCATTGATATGCCTATGTTTTCTCTCTACTACTCCATTTTCCTTAGCTGCATGTGTACATGATATTTGTTATTTCACCCCCATTATTCACCAGGAAGTTCTAATGTTATACGATGCAAACTCTCCCTGTCCATCACTACGAAAGTAGACTATAGGTTTTTGGAAGCATTTTTCAAAAGAGATTCTGAATTTCATAAAGACATGAAATGCCTACCATTCCTTCTTTAGAAAGAATATCCAGGTGAAATGAGAGAAAATCCACAATTGTAAACATAATATAAAGAACCAGATAAAGAAGATTGTGGAGCGAGAAATGTAGACATAATAAAAAGAACCAGATAAAGAAGATTGTGGAGGGAGAGCCCAAACATCAGAATAATTAATTGAAAGGGAGCAGAAGCTTCTTTATTATGATGGAAGTTTCACATGTTTCCCCAAGTCACATCCTTTGACACATAAACGAAGATTGAATATCAAGATCAAAGGGAATTAGGCCCTATTTACAAAATTCATTCGAAGACTCGAGACTGCATTAACCTAAACAATGATGCCAAACACTGGCATCTTTATGAGCACTAGGAGGAAAAAGCAATGATGGGAGCTTCTTCTTGATATGATCATCAATAATATAAATCCATGACGAGATTCTTTAGCGCATATTATACCCGACTGTCATTCCTTCGTAAAAAACAAAATGGGGGGTAAACACACATGAAATAGAATTTTATCAGGCTAATTAAGAATCTGAAATAATATTTCGACAAATCTTAGGAACAAAGAAAACATTTGATGAATAGGTAGGACCACATAAGTAGAGAACTCTGACACTTCCTACATGAGTGATATTGAGGAAGGTCCCATCACCAATCATAAAAGAGCCATTACCAAAGTGAGGAACTAGGGATGAGAACATACCACTATCACTTGAAACATGATTAGCACTGCTAAGTTCTCTGTAGAAGACATGATAGCTAAGTACTCCAGAGAATGATTCTGGGCAGCAGCTTGACTTTCAAATGGATGGCTTTATAATGATAAAAGCGCTTAATGGTTGCATCATTTTCTTTCCACATATATGGTAAACACAATCACCATCTGAAGGGACAAATGATCCAGTCGAAGGAATAGGTAACAAACCACGACCCTGATAAGGAAGAATATTAATTCTTCTACCTCGACCAACACGTCTCTACTTTTGTAGCGTTTACCTCGTCCATCACAATTACAATTCCAGCCGGTATTAATATTTGAATTATTATTTGATAATAAAACAGGATGAGAATCACTAGTAGATGAGTTTTCCAATGACGGTTTAAGGTTGAATAATGCTTCATATTGCAACATTAATGGCTGCAAATCACTAAACCAGGGAAATGAAGTCTTCACCATCACAGAGGAAACAAACACTTTATAATCATCCCCTACACCTCTCAAAACATAATGGACCTTGTCTCTTTGAGGATCTTGCACCATAGCAAACTGATCTTATAGGGCTTTTATCGTGTTATAGAATTCCAAAGCTGACATATTATCTCTTTTAGAAGTATGAAGCTCACCTCAAAGATGCATAATCAGGGTTCTGCTTCGTGGGAAATAGGTCACAAAGGGCCCCCCAAACTGCTGCAGCGATTGGTTAATTAATTACTTGAGGAATAAGTTCCTCTGAAAGGGTAGAACAAATCCAATCGACGAAGTTCTGGTTCTTATATATCCAATCATCATAAGCAGGATTACTTTCTCAGTTGTTTCATCTTTACGAATCTCTTCTTTTGTAAGAAATCCAACCGTAGGCTTTGATGAACCATCAATGTGCCCCAATAACCATTAGGCTCTTATATAAGTTAGAACAAAATCTTTCGAAGTAAAATAGTCCGAGGCATTAAGTTTAACAGGTATGGCTTGAGGATTAGGAAGACCAATAGTACAAGATGACAAAGCCATTGTCAATAGAATAACAAAGAGCGAAAGAGCAAGAGATCTCAAGGAAGAAGAAAGAAGAGAAAGAAACCAGCAGCTAAATTTTGATGAGCAAGAGAGAGAAAAATAATTGGGGTTTTGGACTGGATTTTAAGCACTGAAAAGGCGAATAGCAGTAAGGAATTTTATTTTTAAGAGAAAGAAATAGGATATGAAGAGTAATACTATAGATTTTAAACAAGATCTAGGGGTTTATATTGAATGAAGAGAGAATCAAGAGTTTTGTGGCTTGAATATGAAGCTTAGAAAGGAAGAACAGTAGCATGAATAGTAATGTGAAAAGCAGCATGAACAGCAAAATAAACAGTAGTTCAAGTGACATGAATAGTGTATTAAAAGTCGGTGATCCGGATCGGGAATCGGTTGGCTGATCCGGATCCTGCTAAATATCAGGATCCAGCCGGTTTCCCCTCTAAACCGACCAGTTTTGACAGGTTCTTGTCAGAGTACCGGCGATACGGATTGAGCAAACCATCAAACTCCCACCTTTTTGTTGCTTTCAAATTTACTTTTTTTTTATTTTTTATTATGGGACCCACACCCTTTAACACTTGGGCAGCGGCCTGTAACTTATTTCACTATTAGCAAGCCGTCTTTTTTACTCCTCCCTTCAAATTTGTATTTTAAAATTTCTTAATAAAGGAGGGGTGGTCCACGCTTCAACTTGGATGCATGACATGCTACATTAATCTCCCAATTTGGCATTCTTATAGCACCGCAACCCCAAAATCCTTGCTCTACTCCTGATGTGGGATACAGATACGTGTTGCAACTTGACCTTTCAAGGTATTGGATTTATCTTAAACCTTTAAGGGATTTACTAAGTCTACGAGTTAAAAATATGGGCTACATCTTAACATCTTAACCTTTTAAGACGGATATGTCCTTAGTCTTTAACAATTATTCCAAAGAATCTTTAACCTTTTAAAATGAGGGACTAAATCAAAAGAGCTCTAATTTTTTATTTTTTTAAATAAAATCACATTGATTTTTTAAATTAAATCACCATCGAAAAAATGTTCTTTTCTCTCTCTATCTTTTCAAAAAAAATTGTTGGCCATCCTTTTGTTATGAAGGGTTACTAAGATTATCTAGCTTATGGACACAACATAAATAGGGAAGGAAATACGCTCTATTTCCAACGTCAATACTTCAACAAAAAGACAAATAAATAAATAGGGAAATATATGTTCCTGGGCAACCGATTCAGGTGACTATAACTGCATCTCAAATATTTATAATTTTTAAAATATCTGAATGTGCATTTAAAAATTAGTATTTAAAAATGGATCCATTTTTTAGTTAGAGAGATGCAATTTATTGCAATGCATTAAATTTTAAGCATCAATTTGACTATAAAATGAATATAATGGATTACAAATACTCAGAAATGAGATAGGTTCTCAGTGTTTATGTATAACAAAAAAGCCATAATGCAATATAACTATTTTTTTCGAAACTTAAAAAACTAGATTTTTAAGAAATTTTAGTGTTTTTTTCTAAATTGTTTTATACCGGACCTTGCCGATCCCGCCGATTCTCCCATCCGGATCACCGATCCACCGATCCAACCCGATTTTTGCGGTGGCCAATCAGGGTCACCGATACGTTTTTTAAAACCTTCGACATGAATAGTAGATGCCCTTAGTATGGAGGAAATAGAAGAGAGAGAAATTAGGGTCTAGGAAATAAGGATGAAAATTTTGAAAGAAGGTAAAGATGAAGAAAGAAAGATACAGGTTTAGAAGAGAGAGAGATAATGAATCTTCAAGAATGAAATATATATTTTTATTGATTAGAGTTGATCATGCTGAAGGCATATTCAAACCTTTCTCTGATACCATGAAATACATAGAGAAGAAGAGAGAAAAGAAGCACGCACTTGAAAACACACACAAGGGGCACAGTCCTAATTCTTGTGTTATAATATATATAATGTTATATCTTGGGTGAGGACAGATTTGTCCTTATACATTACAGCAAATGACTTCACAATATAGGCCACTTAACATACACACGAATTACAGAAGTGACCATCATTACGTTCTAACAGATAATGGCTCATGTAATAGTAAGTATGTGCATTTCAAAAAACAAAGGTCAGTAAGTAGACTCAATATGGCAAAACCAAACGGATAACCACATCTCAAACTATCAAAGCTAAAATGCGTTTAGTATGAATCTTTTTAATAAGGGCACCTAATATGAAGTACAGATTCTCATAAAGCCCTTTAAGAAACATCAGAACCCTAAACATTTGAGACCAAGAAATGACTAAATTGCATAACAGCAACAACACATACCAATTACAAGGTGTGCTTCATCTAATCCAAGCTCAATGCAATGGTGTGTATGATATCGAGAGCACAGAAACATGAGGAAGAGAAGAAAGGATTGTACCTCCATGCCTCTTTTGGCTTACACCCAGAGGCAAGATAAGACACAAGGTCCTCCTTCGTCAATGGATCTGTAGCAACTAGAGCATCATCTGTTGGAGGACTTGCAGCAACAATGTAACAACCAGCTCTTCTCCATCCAGTGGTCTGTGACCTTGATAACCATCGAGCTCTCAAAGAGTTCCAGGATAGGGAAGATGGGCCCCTAACATTCTTCACAAAACATGTGCTCTGGCCTAGATTGGAGCTGCCAGTTTCAGAACTGCAACCCAAATTCACAGTTGCATTCTTCTGAGATCTGTAACTGAACAGCTCTGAATGAATGTTATAAGACAGAGATGCCCGGGATATCACTGCCATCATGCACCCCTGTAAAATGATATTACAAAAAATCAAGAAAGGTGCACCTGAATACCAAGGGAAGATAACAAACACATCTCAAATGCTTGACAGACTTATAAAAATAGAAAAAAGTGATATTAAAGGTTTCAGGAAAGGCACAATCCTGCAAACCAAGTAAAAGTAAAAAAAAGAAAAGACAAAGGAAACAACGGTTCTTTGAAAAGCGCTGTCATTGTTTCTCTATCTGTAAGCAAAACATTTATTAGCAATAATTAGACTGAAACCCAGAGCAAGAACATAGGCATCATTCACAATAAGCTGAAAACTAGAGCAATTAGGTTTGATGTCATATGGTTTCTCAGAAACTTATCACAAAGTGCATCGGGTATAAAATACACACATCCACAGCACATTAATGTTCGAGTGCCAGAAACAAAGATTATTGCTCACCATGCACCAATAGTTATTAGAGGTGTATCTATCACTGACACTCAAGGAACAGTTTTGTAATCAAAAAACTGTGTGCTCGTAGTTATGTCCATATAAGTGTCCGGCATCAAATTAATTCTCTCACAACCTCAAGGTTAGGGTTTCTAGAATAAGTTGCGGTAAAGAACTCATTTCCAAGAATTACGAAAAATCAGCAAGAATATATTCCTGACCATTGAAGAATGTACATTGGAAACATCGGAATGTGCAACAAAATCATAATATTGGTAAGCCTTGGCAGATTCAATTTTACTTTTACAATAATGACTTCATTATAAGTATGATGAATGGTGCTTGAACAAGTCCATGGAAAACATACAACAAACTATAAACCAATAATTTGCAAAAAAAACTTATTTATGTACATATGAAGAAGTGGAGTAAACACTTTGGCCGCACTTTGAATGTGGTTTAACTTATTTCACCAACAAAGGTATATTTATGTACGTATGAAGAAGTGGAGCAATAAACACAATAAGCAACAAAACATCACTGAAAACACGAAATTTAACGCGGTTCACCCTCAAGGGGTTACATCTGCAGGAGAGAGACAATCCAATCGACTATGTAAATTGAAAGTTACAAGTATTGATGGAGACAAATACCTAGTCTCCCAAGACACACACACACACACACACACTCTCTCTCTCTCTCTCCTC